TTTAGAGTGCGTTTCGTCCTTTAGGAATGAGGGACCGAACCTGAAAGATCGAGTTGGCGCCAACATCAACCGGAGGGGTCGAAGATGGTCTGCTCCTGTCTCCATTACCGCCAGAACTGAGGCTTTGATGCTGCGAGGGCTGGACCTGTGGCTTCGATGTATCGCCCTTGGGAGCACCTGCGGAGCCGAACATCCCGAGTTGCGCGGCAATGCCGGTTTTCGCGAGCTGCGCGTACTGCTTCGGCTTTTCGCGCTGTTTAAGCGCGGGGCCACGGCATTCACTGAGATGAGCATCGAGGGAACCATTACGATGTAGTTTGCGAGCCGATAGAACCTGAAACAAGGGCGAACACTTTGTCGCATGGTGTGTGGCATTGTTGCCTCCAAGCTGAGCCAGACTACCACAGAAACGACACGGTCGCACGAAGGTGGAGCGAAGACTTTGCGCAGCTGCAAGTGCATCTTGATGCGATTCCTGCCATGCCGAGGCGTGTGACGCCCTCCAGTGATTTTTCATGTGGCCCGCGTCCTTGACACGTTGTCCACAAAGAAGGCACCGATGGGAGTAGCCCGCGACGTGAGCCGCGTGTCCTGAAAGATCAGCGATGTCGCAACTGAGTAGTACAGTTGGTATGCCCTCGTCACGTACTGAGGCTGCCTCGACGGTTGCCGGAGAAATTGGCGGCGACGTCTCCTCTTCAGTGGCCACCTGCTGCATGAGTTCTGTCATGGACTGCCCTGCCGCTGCGGCCTGCTTTAAGCGAACACAACGGCCCTCCGTGAAATGACGCTCTAGTGATGCCCAATCGAAGAGCTTGACACGACAAAGTCTGCACTGAGGAAGACCGAAGAGCGCATGTTCCCGCCTGTTGAAAGGAGTGCGAGAGACAATATGAACCTCGGGATGCTTGGAGGTGTAGTGCGCGTCCAGGCTCCTGCTGTTGAGAAAAGCAACGCCACAAATAGGACAGTGAACCTCATTTTCCGTTCTGTCAATTTCCACCACGCCTGATGCCGGCAATGCCTGTAGTCTCGCCAGCTCGATGAGAAGCACCTGCGTTCGATCAAGAATGGGTGAAGCCAATGCAGGAGCACGATGAGTATCCGACTGCGTGGCGACCTGTTTTTGTCGCAACAGCGATCGCAGCATGCCTTCAGGGTCAAGATCAGCTCGTGCCAGAACCGTGCGATTGCTCACCCCGTGCTCGTGCACTCTGAGAACCTTGCGGAGCATCCGGGAGAGAACGGACAGCAGTTCCCTGAGCGACGCGGCCGTGAAACCAACCCCCGTTAGTCCATAAAGAAGAGCAGGAACAACGCATGCCTTGAAGACCCGTAGCCGATGAGTTTGCCCGAACATGGAGTTCGTCCTGAGAATCGGCTTGAGCTTGGTGTAGTTCGCCCAGGCTCTGGTACCCCTAAACTGCAGCGACTGTGATTCCATAGCACCATAAGAAAGGACAACACCTAAATACTCAAGCTTGTCCTCGACCGGAAGCGTGATGTCCGCCCCGGTGCTGGGGTCCGTGCCGATGATGAGTACGTATCGGCCACCTCGCCACTTAACAAACTTGCGCTTGATCTGACTGGCCGCCGACCCTCGTAGGATAAGCACTGCGGTGGATTTCTTGAAGTTCACGCTCATGCCAGTCTCTCGGAGAACTTGTATCAAGCGAATGATGTGTTTCCTAGCTTCGTGGAACTGTTCTACGCTCTCAATGCACCAGAAGCCATGAACATCATCTGCAAACAAGCTAGCGTGATGCTGCGCCCACTCTATTCCCAGCAGTCGACAGAGTCTCGCGGTCCACGCGGCGAAAACACAAGGAGCCAGAGGACACCCTTGGTGCAGTCCACGCTGCATGAAAATCTTGCGCTGGTGCCCAGCATGTCTGATTGTGCAGCACGTTTGTCTGTGCACTTCAACGATCAGTCTGGCCAAGGAGTCAGGCACCTCAATCTCCCTCAAGCAACAATAGATTTCAGCATAAGGAAGACAATCAAAAGCCTTTGCCAGGTCCAAACTGATCATGACCCCCCCCTGCATTTCCAAAGTAGAGTCCCCTAGCATTCGTGAAGCGGTGTCGGTGTGTACATGCTGCATCAAGCTGCGAACCCCTGCACAAGGCGCACTGCCCCGAAGGAGGGCATCGATCGTACTGGAGCGTGCGCGATAAGTGAACTGAGGCACATCCCAGAGGCCCCATTTCACATATTCTGAGGTCGCTTCCTTCAGAGCCATCATGAAAAGCTTAGTGTCGCCAGCCATGAGCCCGATTGACCTGAGATTTTCTGGGCAGTTGGGGCACTTCCTAGGTTTCGCGAGCCAAGCCAGCTGAACCTGTGTCCACTCCTCCGGAATTGTGGGCTCAGAGCAACAGAGGTGCTCACGAGCAAGATGCCCCATACAAGAAGCTACTTCCTGGGGATGCTGCTTCCAATTGCGCAGCGGCGGTGTGCCATGTGGCGCAGCCTTCTCTGCCTTAATCGCGGCAATTGCACGTAGCCAAACCCCGTCCTAAAAGAATTCCTCTGGGATGGGTAGTAGCGGCAATTCCCTGTACGTCGCATCGGCGAACAACTTCTGCGCATACCTCGCGAGAGCCTCGCACTCCTCAGCCCCTGTGAGCAGCTGTCCTTCGCCGCCTCGAAGTCTGATACGCTGTGCTCTGCCCCCCGGACATAGCAGTCGAATGACCCCGAAGAGAGCACGTGAGTCTTTGTTGTTGGCTGCGCGCTCGGCTTGCTCAAGCAGCTGAATAGTCTGTTTCCTTTTCCGCGCTCGCATGGCCCTTTTAAGAAGCCGATGGGCCTTTTGGTATTTGATCTTAAGCCAAAAGAACAAAAAGATGAACTTCATGCTCTGATGAAACTGCCTCTGAGCAGCTACCATGGCCCGTCGAATGTCCCAACATGACAGCACCAGACCATCTACAGCTTCCAACTGTGGCTTGCTTGGCTTCTCGGGTGGAGTGCCGCCTACATCTTGTACGGCATCTCGAAGGTCACTGATGGTCTGCTTCCCCGGGTGCGCGCTCAGCCAAAGCAGCTGTGAGGAGTCACGCTTCGCTGATGTCTGTGTGACCTTTTGTTTGCGCGCCCAGGGCGTCCAGCGAATCGGTACCGATCCCACGAGTGGCCGATGGCCAACAGATCGCCAGCCCGCCAGCGGAAAGGACGTTGCTCTGGTTTGCTTGGCTACACCATCCGCAAGCGGCTGTCTGACACAGACATAATCCAGCTGACTGATTGCTTTAGGATGGAAATACGTGCTAGCGTACTTTTTTGCACCCCAGGTGTTGCGAACGCAGAAACGATGCCTAGCAAGGGCTTGCATCAGCAACTCCCTGTCCTCCTTCTCCTTCTCTGTGAGATCCTTGCTCAGCAGGCCCATGCCCACAATCTTGGATTCGCTGCGCAGCTGGGCGTTGAAATCGCCCCCCAGTATGACATGAGAACGGACTGGAAGCGAAGCCAGGAGGGACTCCAAGGAGCCCCAAAGCTGACGTCTTTTCATCAGGATTGCATCAGACTGACCGGCCTGATTGAGGTACGCATGCTGGTACAAGCAGATGATGTCAAGCTGCTGCTTGCCAAGCTGGCATCTCACTTGCAGCAACATGCCAGGCACATGATCGTGCCAACGTATCGTGCTCGGATCCACCAGCTTCCTACGAATCCCGATAAGCACACCGCCACTGCCCTTCTTACTGGTGGCCGAATGGCAGAGACACCACTCATCCGTGACCCAGTCCGATGTAAAATCCCAGTGTGTCTCCTGTATCATGAAGATTCCGATATTCTGTTGCTTTGGTTGCATCATCCAAACGCAGATCTCAGCATAGAGTACGCTCGACAAACCACCAGCATTCCAGCAGAGAAAACGAATTCTAGGTTTTACGCTCTCCTTCTCCTCCTCTGCTACCGGGAGGAGTGTCGGCTGTGCACGCAAGCGCTGACCCCTGTACATAGTTTCTCCATGCAGTTGTGCCCTTTTCACGGCACGCTTAAAAGAGCGCTTCCTGATACGTGAGAGCGAGAGCCCTTGTACATTCAGCGCGTTACCTTGGTCCCCTCCTACGTTCGCCGTCGAGTCGGCTACAGGTCTTCCGGAGGGAGAAGACCCACCCTCACGCCAATGCTGATCTATATGCTTGCCTGAACTTCGTGAAGCAGCATTTCCGGACTTGGGACCGGAATGAGCTGACATGATGGATTGCGGTGCGATTGCCAAAGAGCCAGATCGACACAGAAAATCCCCCGGTGCCTGCAACCGAGTTGGCACTATACGGCCAGCAGGTCAACAGTGGACGGCAGAATTCTTTCCGATCAACTCTCCATGAATGCCAACGACTCCACAGGAGAAAGCCGTGTTGAGTTGAGGGCCCAGAGCCAGCTAGTGAGCTTACGTTAACAAGAGGGGCCCGCAGTTTCCGACCGCAACTCAGATTTGAGCAGCTCATGGCGCACTACTACTACTACTACTACTACTACTACGGCTACCACCACCACCACCACCACCACCACTACCACTAGTATTACCACTAGGTCTACGACCACTGCTACTGATACTACTGCTGCTGCTACTAGTGCTGCTGCTGCTGCTGCTGCGGCTACCACTACCGCTACCTCTACCGTTGCCCACTACCACCACCACCACCACCACCACGACTACTACTACTACTACTACTACTACGTACTACTACTAGTACTACTACTAGTACTACTACTAGTACTACTACTACTACTACTACTACTGCTGCTACGAGGCTTCACCCCCCTGGTGCAGCGCCCGTCGCGGAGCATGTTCATCACGAGCATCCTGATCAGCACCACCACGATCAACTTTCATCGGCATTTTCATCCGGAAGGGCAACATAACTTAAATCGCACGAGACCATGGACGTCGTTAGCTTTGGGCATGGATGCTCTGTTCCCAAATCGCACTAGACCATGGATGTCATTAGGTTTTGGGCATGGATGCTTTGTTCCCAAATCGCACTAGACCATGGACATCATAAATTTTTTTGCATGGATGCTCTTTTCCCAAATCGCACTAGGCCATGGATGTCATTCGGTATTGGGCGGGTGCGCTGGCAAACGCTTCTTGTTGCACCGGACACGAAGAATATCTGTGCATTCTGATGGCTGGTTTTTCGAGATGAACACTTTTATTACAAATATTAGACCAAAAATCTTAATTCTGATCGCTAGTTTTTGGGCACGGAAATCCCGACCGCAAAAAAATGGCAAGACAATTTCAAAGACGAGTGTTGTAAATACGAGCATCTTTGGCTGCAAGAATGAAGAGCAACGTTCAGAACAACGCAAAAAGCAAGAAAAAACACACGCGCGTTCCAAAACTTCAACAACAAGACAAAACACTGTGAACCACTGCATTTCTGACAACACGAATTCTAAAAAAATGATAGGTTTGGGCGTCGCGCCGGGGGGGCCGACCACTACTACTGCTGCTGCTACTACTACGACGACGACGACTACTCTGCTGCTACTACTACTACTAC